GAATTATGTGATAACGGCGGATATCGAAAAAATGTATCGTCAAGTGCTCTTGCATGAAGACGATCGGCGATATCAGCAAATTCTATGGCGGAAGGATGATAAGATAGTGACGTTTCAATTAAATACGCTCACCTTCGGCGTTGCTTCTTCACCATTCCTCGCCATTCACACTTTAAACCAACTGGCGGACGATGAGCGACAAGAGTTCCCCAGAGCGGCCGAAATTCTTAAGAATCATGTATACGTAGATGATTTATTAACTGGTGCGGAAACTATCAAAGACGCTCGAATGATTAGGGATGAAATAACCGCATTGTTAGCGCGGAGTGGTTTTACCATTCGACAGTGGGCGTCTAATGACACGCGAGTGATTGAGGATCTAGCCGACAACGCGTTACACGCGAACTTAACGTTTAATAGCGATTGTTCTTTACAAGCATTGGGGGTATCGTGGGACACGCGTAACGATAGTCTATGTATCGCAGTACATTCGATCGACGATTCAGAACCGTTAACAAAACGGAGTATCTTATCGAGCATTGCTAAAATTTTCGATCCGCTGGGATTATTAGGTCCAGTGGTGTTACATGCTAAACGACTAATACAGGACGTTTGGAAATGCGGAACGCATTGGGATGAATCTGTTCCGCAGAGTATCCACACAGAATGGTCGGAATTCACCCGACAATTAGGTTCACTGCACCGGGTTTCATTTGATCGAAAATTATTAGTAGAGAATCGAAAGAACATTGAGATACACGGATTTTGCGACGCGAGCGACTTCGGATACGGAGCGTGTCTGTATATTCGATCGACGGGAAGAGGCAGCGGTATTATCAGTAAATTGTTATGTGCCAAGTCAAGAGTCGCACCGGTAAAACCTGTTACTATACCGCACCTCGAACTTTGCGGCGCATTATTGTTAGCAAGGTTACATCGCGAAGTTAGTCACGCGCTAAATTTCGTGCCCGATAGAACGATTTTTTGGTGCGATTCAACCATTGTAATACATTGGTTGAAGACGTCGCCTCATCGACTTAAAACTTACGTGGCGAATCGTGTCGTCGAAGTACAAGAGTTAACCAAGTCGATTGAGTGGCGACATATTAGATCGGAAGACAATCCGGCCGACGCGATCTCAAGGGGTCAACTACCTCACGCCTTTTTGCAAAATAAAATATGGCATACCGGACCTTCGTGGTTAATCAGAAACGAGAATGAGTGGCCCGGCACCGATACTCAAATGATTGACATACCCGAATTAAAAGGGAACACTTGCTTGATGACGGCCTTTAAGGATCTCGATATACTTAAAAAATATTCTTCATATTCGAAGTTATGTAGAATTGTTGCCTACTGTTTCCGATGGCGTCCCGCTAACAAATACGCCGGGTCATTGTGCGCAAGGGAAATTGATGAAGCTGAAGGTCGCGTATTAAAGGTCATTCAAACATCAGAATTCGCTGACGAAATAAAACTTCTTCAAGCCAAGCATTCGATGTCCAAAGGTAAATTCGCGACCTTGAATCCGTTCTTGGATGAAGGCGGCTTGATTCGCGTTGGAGGACGCCTCCAAATGTCAAACTTAACGTTTTCACAAAAACATCCGATATTACTTCCAAGTCGGAATCACGTCACTGATCTAATTATACGCGAAATGCATGAAAAACTTTATCACGCGGGTATTCAAACCACATTATATTGTTACGTCCAGTGGACTTCACGATTTCTTTCTTTCTAAAAATAGCACTGCGACCGATCCCTCAATAGCAAGACAGTAAGAAAATGAGAGGTTGTTGACCCACGAGAGGTCACAGCTGCACGATAAACTATTCCCCTTCATTTTTACGACTTAACAATCTCCCATTTTTACGATCTAACAATCTTCCCTTTTTACAATCTAACCATCTTTCCTTTTTACGATCTAACAATCTTCGTTTCTACGAACTAACAATCCTCGTTTCTACGAACTGACAATTCTTCTTCATTTTTATGACCTGTCAAACTCTCAAAACCCACGATGACAAGTGGAATCAGACCTCCTAATGGATAAATTCCATTAACGTCACCATATTACGACCTACAGCCACGCTCTAGAAGAGATAATTAAACTTACTTTATTAGTAACTGATATGAGGACTGGTACCCTTTGTCACAAAAAACAGGCGACAATCGGGCGCCACCGAATCCCCACAAGAAAATAAGTTAGAAAATTGTTGCTCCGATCCACCAATAAGCGCCAGCCAAATCAGCGTATTCAACCCTCTCCCAACGAAAAATAGGGTATATATACCCTGATTCCGCGGAGGAAACGA